TCCTGAATAATATCCTGAAGCGTATTTTCCAGCTTGGATTCATTCTCTTCATCACATTCAGGCACACCTATCAAATGTAGATTAGGTCTTTTCACATAGTCCCGTATTTCTTGGAGACTTTGCTCATTCCTTTTTATCCTTTTTTCTCTAATCTTGTCTTCTTGTTTTATTTCATTAAGCTGGTCTTTGACCACTGATATCCTTTCTTCTGCTTGATCAATTCGGCTTTTAAAACTTGTGCATACTTCACAAAGTTCTCGTGTTGTGTTTTTCAGCTGCATTAATTCACTTATATTCCTCTCTAAATTGTCTATTCTCATTAGCATCAGCAAGTGGATGATAAGAAACTTCTGTGAGTTAAAAGAACTTGTTCTAACCCAATGCAAAGAAACTAAGAACTTTGAAAAAAGGTTTGATGAAATGCTAAAGAGCCACTGCCCTGAAGGGAAAAGCCCAGTCCTGGCAGGATCCATCACCTGCTGACTGAAGAGCCCATAGGCCCCGAAGAACCAGCAGCAGTACCCAGGGAGTACACCATGGGCCTCGGGCGAGATTCTGACATGTGCTGGTTTTAGGGAGCCACTGAGCCACAGCGGGGTAGACCACCAAATGGGCTCTCCGGGTCTCTGATTTCAGGTCTTGGCTCTTGAATGACATTTGTGGGCCTGCCCTGGGTCAAAGGGAGCCCACTGCCCTGAAGGGTGAGTCCTAGGCCTGGTGGTATTCACTACAAGCTGATTGAAGGGCCCTTGGGTGCTAGGCAGACATGGGCAGCAACCTGGCCGTACTCTCTGTGTCCCTGTGGTGGTGAACATGAGGAGAGACTCCACTGCCTGTGGAAAGAGGAGACAAGAGTCAGAAGGACTTTTTTGTGAGGTTTGGGTGCCAGCTCAGCTGCAGTAAAATGGAGCACCAGGTACATTTGTAAGGTTTCTGACTCCAGGTCCTGGCTGCTCTATGGCATCTCTGGACCTTCCTAGGTCCTGGAAGAACCTGCCACCCTGAAAGAAAGGACAGAAGCTTGGTTGGCTTGGCCACCTGCTGATTCCTAGGGCCTTGAATGAAAATAGCAAACAAGGTACCCAAGTGGTGGTTAAAACGGGCCTTGGGTGGGTGGGACCCCGTGATGCGTGGCTTCAGATCAACATTGGTGGGCTGGACAAGATCTGCAAGAAGCGTCTGGATGAACAGGCAGAGAATCCTGTCCTCTTTTCTCACTTTCTTCCAAACAAACAGTCTCTTTCTCTCTGCTGAGCTGTCTAAAGCTGGGGAAGGGGCAACACAAGTATCCCTCTGGCTGCCACTCCTGGGACTGCACTGAGTCAGATCTGAAGCCAGCGCATCACTGTGATGTTGGGACATCCCTTCCCATGCAGCCTAGAGCTTGTGGTTCGTTCTTAGTTTCCAAACGCTCCACGTGCTCTGTGTTGATGTGTCTCATCTTCTCATCTAGATTGTCTGAACATCACCAAGCATCCCACACGCCGGTCATGTCACCTTTGACACTTACTTAATTACTCTGAATCTCTCTTTCCTTGAAATAAAGAGAAAAGCAATCATCCTTCTCACCTTCCCAAACTGTTGTAAGAAAAAAAATGAATAGAACTGTGGTATTTTAGCATTGAAAGAAAACTCAATGATATCCAATCACTCAATTTCCAGGTGGTGAAAGAGGATTCTGAGAAGCTCAAAGAGTTCCTTTCCCCAACTACGGAGCTAGCAATGGTAACTAAAGCTATCTTAAACTTACTGTAGCTATACCTAGGTGGTGATTCACTTATGGAGCATTTTTTCGTAATTAATTTAATCATTGTTCATTCACAAATAAGCCCCTGCTCCATGCCTGGCCTGTGCTAGGCAGGGGGATGAAGATTGACACCAAGCTCCATCCTCTCGGAGCTGTGGCGTCTCAAGGGGGAGTGGCATGAGGCCCTAATACAAGAGTGAGAGACACAGCAGTGCTGGGGAGCACACAGCAGGGGCTGGGTCCAGGGAAGGTCTCAGACAGATGAGTTCAGTGAGAGCCCTGGGCTACAGACAGGAGACTTTTAGGTGAGATGGCAACCACATTCAAATGGTACCTGTGGTTTTCAACCCCAACGTCGGGCTGTCTCTGCATCGATATCATGCAAACTAAACACAGAGGGATCAGGGGAAGATTCCTAGTGTTCTCCAGGCTGAGAGGGCTCAGATCTTGGAATAACTCTGGGAAGGAAGGTAGCTCAGGGCAGTGGTTGGGACAGAGATGGGCCAGGCTGCCCAGGCCCATGTCCTGGCTGACTCCTTTCTAGCTGTGTGGCATGAACAATCGCGACAACCTTGCTGTGCCTCATTTTCTCATCTGCAAATGGGTAGAATAGGGCAGCTACAAGCACTGAATGGGGTGAAATTTCCAAAGGCTTAGACCATGGCCTGGTATGTAGCCAGTACAGCAAGAGTATTGGATGATGAACCCTTGTGCCCCCATTGGTGAGAGAGGAATGCTTATTTCATGCTGGAGTTGACATCAACATTTTAAGGAAGAAAGTGGAATCTAAGAGGAGGATCAGAGGAAGCACTAGGTTTGGATGGAGGATGAGGAAGCGAGAGGGCAGCTGTGTCAGGAGGAGCGGAGACATGGGAAGTTCAGAGCTGGCCTGAAGTCCTGACGGGAGAGCCGTGGGTTGGGCCGCATACTGCTGTCTCGCCTCTGGCTTGGGGTGACCAGAGGCCCTGGCACACTTCACATTGGGGATTCTTTCCTCCTGGGCTTGATGTGCTGTTCAGATGCAGCAGGAGCTGCCCGGGAATGTCCAGTTCATTTCATCCCACTCGGCTCTGGGGGAGGGGCCTGCCACAGAACGTCAGTGGAGACTTGTCTACAGCTGGGTTTTTGGTTTTAAATCTGTTTTCTAATTTATTTTAACTTCCAGATGAAAAGTAGTATTTTGCCAAATGGGGGCAGGCTAGGTTTTGTGGCCGAGGCCTGCCAGGTTGTGACCTGCTCTGAGAGAAAAGTGGACTCGATCCTGGCCTGGCCGTCACATGGAGCCGCCTGCAGTGTTTCCAGGTGCTCAAGCCCAGATGGCAGGCTGAGCTGGCTGCCCTGGGGTTGGGGTTCCCAGGTGCCCCAGTGAAGGACGCAGAGCTCCACCCTGCTGAACTCACACAGCGTTTGGAGCCAGGCCCCTGACTCAGAGACCAGGGGGAGAGATTGAAGAGGAGCCTAGACCTGTCCTAAAGGAGGGCAGCTGATCAGCTGATCCCGTGAGGAGAGCAGGATCACGGCTGAAGACCCTGGAGAAGCAACTGCTGCTGAGGGGGCGTTCGCACCACCTGTGGTGTGTTCACAAAAGGTGGCCTTGTGAAATGTGCTTTCATTTATTTATTTTTTTTAAATTATACTTTAAGTTGTGGGGTACATGTGCTGATTGTGCAGGAAGTTACACAGGTATACATGTGCCATGGTGGTTTGCTGCATCCATCTCCCGGTCCTCTACATTAGGTATTTCTCCTCCCCAATCTCCCCATGCACTGCTATCCCTTCCCCAGCCACCTCCCCACCCCACCCCCCACCACAGGCCCTGGTGTGTGATGTTCCCCTCCCTGTGTCCATGTGTTCTCATTGTTCAACCCCACTTATGAATGAGAACATGCAGTGTTTGGTTTCCTGTTCTTGTGTCAGTTTGCTGAGAATGATGGTTTCCAACCTTATCCATGAATTTTGGGTTTTCACATAAAAAATATAACAAAATTTTTTTTTTTCTTTTTTTGAAATGAAGTCTCGCTCTGTTGCCCAGGTTGGAGTGCAGTGGTGCAATCATGGCTCACCGCAACCTCCATCTTCCAGGTTCAAGCGATTCTCCTGCCTCAGCCTCCTGAGTAGCCAGGATCACAGGTGTGCACCACCATGCCTGGATAAATTTTTTGTATTTTTAATACAGACAGGTTTCACCATGTTGGTCTGGCTGGTCTCGAACTCCTGATCTCATGATCTGCCTGCCTCAGCCTCCCAAAATCCTGGGATTAAAGGTGTGGGCCACTGTACCTGGCCAACAACATTTTTAAAAGTCAAAATATATAAGAATTTGAAGATACACCTCAGCTGTATTCTTTGCTCCTACCAGCTGCAGAGATAGCCCATCATTAACAGAGTTAGCAGTGAGGAAGGCCACGTTTTGGTGATCTCTGTGACAGCTGAAGCCCTGGTTTCCTGGAGATGTCACCACCTACTAGCACAGGAGGGGTAAATGGACTCAGCAAACAGAGGAGGTGATGTGCCTGCTAATCTGTTCACCTGCATTCCGCCAGGAAATAAGCCATCTACAAAAATGTGACATGAAAGGAACAACAAATGCCATGACAAGCACCAAAATGACAGCCAGGCCAGAAGCAGGTCATCTCCTCCCTCAGAACTGCCCACAGCTTGGTGGGATTTGCCCGTGATGCTCAGCCGGCTCCTGCTTGTGGAGGCCCCCCGATGACCTGTGTGGGCAGCTCACCTGGGGCATCCCCGCCAGGATTCCACACATTGTCAAGGCAAGGAAGAGCCCTGGGTCCTCCGCTGTGACACAGGTGTGGACCCAGCACACTTCGTGTGTGTGGGCAAATTTATAAAGATGGACAAGGCAATATTTGAATTTTTTAAGTTACTTACAAATATTTTAAATTTTAACTTTTCATGTTTTTTTCATAACATGAGACATAAAAATTAGAAGCATAAAAATAAACTTTGGGAGGCGGGGAAGGCACTCTCGGTGACATCACGGGTAATGTGACCACTATGTAAATAAGGCAGCCACTATGTAAATGAGGTAGCACAGGGGCTGCTGCTTCACCACCAGCTCCTTCCCCACGATAGAGTGGGGGCGAGTCCAGGACTGTTGGTCGGACTTGAGAGTCCCAGCTGTGTGTCAGAGCTAGGACGGCTCCAGGCTGGGGGTGTGGGTGCATGGGCCAAGTCACCGTGTGTGTAAAGGGTGAGGCATATGAGGCTGTGTCAGGCAGAAGCACGTGGATTTGTGCTTGTGTTGGGGGGAACAAGATGGTTTTGGGGTTGGTTTTCTCAGGTTGATGGCTTATCCTTTGTACTTGAGATATGCTGACCCCCGGGGTTTCCCCAAAGGTGGAAAACTTGACTGCATAATCAGTGGTAGCAGGTGACTGCATTCATGTTTTACTTGTGTCTTTATAGTGTGAAAACCAGAGGGCGATACAAAGGGTTGACAGTTTCTGTGGGTTGGTACCTTGCATGGCGTCATAAGTCATTGTTATAGCTACAAATATGGGGTGTAGAAAGTAATGATTTTTTACCATTCTTGTTACCATTCTTGCTGCCGCTCTTGTGAGTTGCTTTAACAGAAGCCAAGTGGTTGCAGAGCTCTTCTCTTCCTTTTGTAAGTGAAGTTCATTTTTGCAGTCATTGCTTCATGGTCTCCAGTCTCTCGGGTTCTCACACTCTGTGAAAACCTTGTGTTTTCTCATATGCCCGAGAATCACCCTTCACATAGCCTCTGCTTCTAACTGCATGCAGCCCCCATGAGAGTGTAGGATTTCTGTGCTAGCAAGGAATGTGTTCTCACCTCATAGAGCCAGGTAGAAACTGTACATAGACGGGCTCTTTGGGATGAAAACAAAGCCTTTGGGGCTCTTAGCGTTCCTGTTGGGTTGTGGACGTAACACACTTACTTTGTGGGGTTGTGGACGTAACACGATTACTTTGTGGAGGTGAACGGCTCACCCAGCGCCCAGGTGCCCTTGTGAATATTCGCGCAGAGACCCTCAAGTCAGAACCGCAGTCTCGCCTGGCGGCAGAATGCACTGTCATCTACCCCAACTACCCGAACTACTCAGCAATAAAATGAGAAACATTACAGAAACATGAGATAGCATGAATAATCTCAAAAACATGCTGAGTGATGAAGCGTGCATCCTGTGTGGCTCCATCAAGGTGCATTTCTAGAACAGGTGAAACTAACCTGTATAGTGGCAGAAACCACATCCATCATTGATTGCTGGTGTCAAGGAGTTGGTGGGGGACTGACTGCAAAGGGCACAAAAGGACTTTGGAGTAATAGCTACGTCATCAAACTTGAAATGGATGTATTGAACCATATTCAACTCACACCTTAATCAACTTGATTGTAAAAAGTCATAAGGAAACCCTCCAAATCTTAATATCTTCTACTTAATTTAGAGCATGTGGATTCCTTTAGAAAAGTGTCTAAAGGAAGGAGTTCAGGAATTCCTTCATTTGTTTCTTTTTCTTTGTCTGCAGTTAAGTTTTGCTCTGTGAAATGGAATATTTATAAAATAAAAATAAAATCTAAGCTTAATTTTATTTAATTTTTATTTAATTATTTTATTTATTTAATTTTTTTATTATTTTATTTTTTCATATATATTATATATGTACATAAACACACATACATATATATTCTTCTTTATCATTTTTTCTTCTGTGCAGCCTGGAGAGTACAGTCTAGTCAAAATATACATTCTTCTCTCTGTAGATATACCACAAGACCACAATGCCAATGTTGCCTGAATGTTATGAAAAGTTATTTTTGAACTTAAGGTGATCAAAAATTTAACATGTGTACATTTTCTGTACTGTTAGTATAGTCTATGCTTAGCATGTATAATTTAAAAAAATACAATAGCTTAAAATGATTTGGAATAAAAATATGTACATAGGTTAACAGTAATTAATTCCAGGTGGTCTGAATATGGATGGCCGGTTATCTACTTCTTTATGGTTTTTATATATATATATATATATATCTTTTTTTTTTTTTTTTTTTTTTTGAGACGGAGTTTCACTCTTGTTACCCAGGCTGGAGTGCAATGGTGCGATCTCGGCTCACCGCAACCTCCGCCTCCTGGGTTCAGGCAATTCTCCTGCCTCAACCTCCTGAGTAGGTGGGATTACAGGCACGCACCACAATGCCCAGCTAATGTTTTGTATTTTTAGTAGAGACAGGGTTTCATCATGTTGACCAGGATGGTCTCGATCTCTTGACCTTGTGATCCACCGGCCTCGGCCTCCCAAAGTGCTGGGATTACAGGCTTGAGCCACTGCTCCCAGCTTAAAAATATTTTTAAATGGAAAGTCCTCAATGATCTGGAAGTGAAAGAACAGAGTAGACATGGAAGAGGGGTGTGGGGCAGGTGAAAGGAAAATGTACAGGGAGGAAAAACCCAGTCCTGGCAGGAATCGCATTTAAGTGGAAGGTTTCTGGGGAGCAGTTGTTGGGATAAGAAGGATATAGGGGTGGTAGTGAGGAGGGAGACCCAGGCATCTGAGATCAACTTCCCCTTTGACTATCACACTGCATTTCAATAGAAGAAAAGGCTGACCGACTGGCCCCTCCTGTTTCACCTTCCTGTAGATGGCAGGCTTGGTCTTGGGGAAACTCCGGAAGACTGTTTTTACTTAAAACAAGATCAAACCCAGGAACATTTTAACATGTGAGTCCTAAAGCTGTAAACACAGAAACCCTTTCCTATGTGATTCCTAAAACTGTAAACCAGAAACCTTTTCATATGTGATTCCTAAGGCTGTAAACCTAAGATTCTTCCACGTGTAATACCTAAAGTATAAGCCTATATAAACGTAGAACCTTCCTTTGTTAAATGAGCTGGGTAATTTGGAGCCATCACTCAGCTCCCAGCCGTAATATTAATAATATTAACAATGATAATAGTAATAAACCCTTTCCTTCCCCATTCGATGTTCAGGTGCTCTGTTTCTCACGGCTGCTCCTGCAACAGCAGGAGAATCGTGAAAATATTTAGGACGGTGTACTGCCTGTCATATCATTCCTCCTCCTTTGGTGTTTCTTCAGAAGAAATACACAGCCTTACGTTTCTTTTCAAGCATGCTTATCATTTGTGTTTCTCTTTTATTAGTGTAACTGCCCAGAAGCTTTATCTTGCACATTGCCCAGAAAAGCCAATGCAGCTGAGAACACCAGGCTTTCTGCAACAGAGAAAGAATTTAGAATTTAATAAATGCAGAGGCAGCTAAGTGACCAGGACAGGGGTTTATTATTCCTCAAATCTTCCAGCCCCCAAATTCAGAGGCTAGGGATTTATTTAAGGATAGTTTGGCAGGCAGGAGGCTGGGGAATGGAGAAAGCTGATTGGTTGGGTTGGGGATGAAAATCACAGGGAGTCAGGGCTGGTTTACTTGCAGTGAGTCAGCCCCTGGGCAGGGACCACAGGACCAGATGAGCTAGTTTACAGGTCTGTGTGTGCCAGCTAGTCCATCATAAGATAGGGTCTGAAAAATACCCTGAACACCAACTTAGCCTATAGATAACTATACGTTATCTATACCCAATTGTGCGTATAGATAACATCATCATTGACACTAATGATGTTATCTATACGCACAATTGGGGAGCTTAAAAACCTTGTGGCTTCTGGCTGCATGGCTCCTGAGCCGTAATTTCCAACCTGGTGCCCGATTTGTTAGCTTTGCTAAGGAGGTCTGATCCCCAAGAAAGGAAGAAGTTGGTTTAGGGAAGGGGCTATCATCTCCGTTTCAGACTTGGACCTGGAAGTAAACTCCTCTCATAGTTAGCCTGGCCTCTGCCCAGGAATGGACAAGGGCAGCCTGGAGGTTAGAAGCAAGGTGCAGTCAGTTAGGTCAGATTTCTTTCACAGTCACAATTTTCCTATGTCAGGTTTTTCTGACTGTTGTAATTTTTGTGAAGGTGATTTTGTTAGGAGGAGTATAAATACAATGGTTCTGAGAATGTCTTCTGGAATCAGGCTGCCTCCACTTCAAATTCCTGCTTTCAAATCCTCCTTTGCTGGCTGAGTGACCATGGGCAGGTTATTGAATGTCTTTGTGCATCTGTTTTCTCATATAAAAGATGAAGGTGGTGGTGTGACCTCAGCCTGAGGTAAGCGCCAAATGAGTAAACATATGCACACTCATCAGTTGTGCCTCACGTGTGGCACTTTGCATGTCAGGCACAGTTGAGTGTGCATATGTTATTCATGCACGTGTTAGCTCTTGTGTTTTGGCTGCAATGCTGCACAAAGAGCAGATGTGATGAAAACGGTTGTGTTGAAGTCACAGCAGTGATCCTTTCCAGTGGCTGTGCACCCTCCCAGGGAGACTGCGGCAATCCTCTCACCAGCAGTGATCTCGGGCTGGGAGATCCCGGGAAGGCCCCTCAATCTCCAGCAGGTTTGACCTTCAAGGAGCTTCAGGGAATGAGCTGTAGATGTATATCTACCTGGGAGGAACTGGGAGTTTATTAGCTCATCTGTTCAGTTCATCCAAAGGGGAATAATGATTCAGTTTCTTGCCTTAAATCTGCCCCAGTGAAATGTTTATAGTTTTATAGTGGAAGACATTTGTACATGCAGGGGAGGGAATATGACTTTTCCTCACCCAGCCTAGGTGCACTGCTGAGACCCTTATAGCAAAAGACAGACTTAAAGGGGGAAGAGCACATCTAGTTATTTAAAATAAGTTGTTGGTTTTTTTTTTGTTTTTTTTTTTGAGACGGAGTTTCACTCATGTTACCCAGGCTGGGGTGCAATGGCGCGATCTCGGCTCACCGCAACCTCCGCCTCCTGGGTTCAGGCAATTCTCCTGCCTCAGCCTCCTGAGTAGCTAGGATGACAGGCACGCGCCACCATGCCCAGCTGATTTTTTGTATTTTTAGTAGAGACGGGGTTTCACCATGTTGACCAGGATGGTCCCGATCTCTTGACCTCGTGATCCACCCGCCTCGGCCTCCCAAAGTGCTGGGATTACAGGCATGAGCCACCGCGCCTGGCCTTAAAATAAGTTTTATATAACAGGAGTGCCTTCCAAAGGAAATGAAGGCCCATAGAAACAACTAAACCTCAGTTGTTGTATTTTTAACAGTAGGTTTTATGAAGAGTGAGTAGTCATGGAGAACTATGATAAAACAAAAATGTATGATCTAACAGTAGCAAATTGGGGAAAACGTAGCCAGGCCTCTTTATTCAGGCTCTTCTCTGTGTCCCTGTGTCTTCAGACTCAAGGACGCACAATTCCTCTGGGTACAGAAAGGACACTTCTCACATGAGAGTCCCATGATCAGCTTCAGGGAAGAAGGGCAGGGCGAGAGTCACAGTGACTTTCCTGCTTCTTTTTTTTTTTTCTTTTTGTCTCAAAGATGGTATTGTCTTTATTAAAAAATGGATACATATAGCAGCAGTTACAAAACAGAGTTCATTAAAGGCGTTGTACAACATTGTCAACTCCAGATAGTGTGGAGAGGGTAGCGCCCTGCTCAGCTGGCTGTGGGCTCTGCATGACGCTTGCCCACAACCACCTGCTCCACTTGGTACAGTGCAGCCCAGAGCACCCCACGGGGAGAGCCACGCCACCGTGGCCCTCCGCAGCTTCAAGCTTTTGTTGTCGTGAGTCCCTCAGGTCAAGTAGCACCTTCCATAGCAGCATCGGGAGCACGCACTGGTGTCTGGAGGTGGCTGGTGTACTTGACCCACTTATTAAAAAAAACCTATAAGCATTCAGTAAAAAATACTTTGCCCTGTCTGATGCCATCCACAGAAATACATCTGCTGTGGAAGAAACACTCTGCCATTTAGATGTCTGTAAAAGCGAACTCACGCCTCCGCTGCAGAGGACAGAAGAGAACGTGGGGCAGGTGCTTCCGCGTGACTGTCTTTGGTGAAGGCTGGGGTGTCATGCCATTTCCGGTCCATTGCTCTGCTTCTTACTGCTCTGTGTAGGGGTGAGGAGCCCACTGGGGAGAGGAGAAGCCCTGTTTTGTTCAGACAACATGGCCTTCTTGGCTTGGGCTTTGTCCAGCAAATCCAAGCTGTCTCTGTGGGTCTGTATGTTAGGCACATCTTCATCAGCGATGCCCCTGAAGTGCTTCAGTTTTGAGGTCCCCATCTTCCTTATAACCATGGCAAATGGAACCATCCACTTGGCACAGTTCTCTATGTCACGCCATTCATATCCTGAAACCTTTTGCATCAATTCAGATGAAGAGAAATGATACACGGCCAAAGCAGCAAGTATACGGTAAGGAAATTCGAGGCAGTCGACATGCAGGACACAGAGATCCAACAGTTCTGCAATGTGTATAAAGGTTTGCTGGGGATACTGCGGCAGTAGCACGTCACGGATGTCACTTAGATATGCAACCTGCATGTATACATTCAGCCAGGACACAATAGTCAGGGGACTTGAACCCCACGTAAGGGCCTTCATAATCATTAATTCCATGGTAAAAACTTCATCTCCTGAACACGCTCCGTCTGTCACATACGCAAACCGGTGCAACTTTGGAGGATAGATTTCCTCAAGTTTGGCTGCTATAAATAAAGATGAAATCCCAATAAGCTGCAAAAGAGTTTTTACGACATTTTCTTGTGTCGCCATATACCAGTCAAAGAAATTTTGTGTCAAGTAAAAGGCGTCCCTGTGAAGCTTATAGCCTTCACACACCTCCATAAACCAATCCAGAAGAATTGCTCGCATTTTTGGCTGCACAAGAGGCTGTTGCTCAAGAAAGCATCAACTGAAACAATATCATATGTAAAAACAAGTGATTTTTTTTTTTTAAGGCTAGTCAAGTGACACAATGGAAGGAGAGAAGGAACAAAGAAATCAACAACTGGTGATCAATCATTTGTAAACAGGAATGAATTTTTATGCACTATACACTGTAATCAAAGTCACATATGCTGCACAGTTGGTGGTGAACAGCAGTGCCCTGAGCATTTCTTACACTTGTTTCTGGGGATAACAATTTTCAATGCATGCAGCCAGCCTCTCCATGAATACTGTTACTCTTTGACTGTTCAGCTTTCCCTCCCAGGCCCTGCAGTCCAGCCTGCTAGAGGAAACGGAGTTTGTGTGTTTCCCTACCTGCCAGTCCACTCCAAGGAGCCAACAAGGCATTCCACCTGCTCCCACCCCACGTCCTTTAAACTGAGCCCTCAAAGACTAGGGTGTTTTTCAGTCCTTCATAAATGCTTTCAGTTCCAAAACATGAAAATCAGAGCAATGGTCCCGAGCGCATTGTGTGACATGTTAGCTCGCTCCCAAGACCCAGCAGGAGTTTCATCCCAAGTGCTCTAAAGAGCAGGAGAAAACATTTGTAACTCTGGTCGCATCCTAAGGCATCTTCTCCTTGGGGCAGGGTCCTGGCGGGATGAGGGGGAGCCCCATCATCAGAGACTCCCCCTCAGAGCTGCTCAGGCTCCTCTTCTCTGTGGCTCTGCGGAGCTGGGCTCCGGTGGGGGAGCATGGGGAAGGTGTCCCAGCCCCCACGCTGGAAGAGGCCACCCACCCGGTGGATTTCTCTTTCCAGCTGAGATCTTGGGATGAAAGAATGAGATTTCCTAGAGTCAGGTTCCAAAGCTTAGTGAAACAGGGGCTTTTAGGGCCCGCAATAGAGACAAAATTCAGCATGGAAATCTGAATATGAAAAATTGAGTAAATTAACATTCGGAATAGGACGGCCCGTCTGAATAAAGCAGTGCTACTCCCAAGTTAGGTCTGGAACCATCAACCCCAAACTGAGACACAATCACCAATGACTGAGCTGATCCCACCAAAATTTCTCAGCCACCGTTTACTTACCAAAAAGACAATGGGCCATTACGGGATTTCCCAGGGGAAAGGACTCTCGGGGTCTAGGATTGAGGGGCGGCAGCCTTTTTAGAGGAGGAGACCTCTCACCCCGAGGCCCAGGGTCGCCTTGAGAGGTGGTAGGGACTTCTGGGTTGCTGGATCCCTGGCGGGGGTCCATGACTCCGATTTCACAGGGCCAGGCAGCTCGCCCAGGAAGGGGACCTTCCAGGCTCTGTGACCCTGACTGGATGATTCGGCAATTTCCTTGTGGTCCAGGCCGCTGTGAAAACCCGGCTTCTGGGATCCCAAACACAGAAGAGGGAGACAGAGGGAATGGGGATGCAGGGGACATCAGGAGACTCAGACACAGGAGCAGAAGAGACACGCAGGCCTGCAGCCCTGCACTTCTGAACTTCAGCGGAATACTCATGCTATTCAGGGAATAAAACCTAACTAAACAGAAAGGTTCCACCGAGACTCGAACTCGGATCGCTGGATTCAGAGTCCAGAATGCTCACCATTACCCCGTGGAACCTTGCACTGAGGCTTTCCTGGAGGTGTCTGAATTCCTAATAAGTAGCAGTAGTTCTCATTCACCCATGTCAAGGCATTTCTATTGATCCCACAAGTAACACTTGGGAAAGGTGGACCTGTAGGAAGGAACCATTTCTCTTGCTTTCTCTCTGCCGTCTCTTTTGATTGACTTTCATTATTTCATTTGCACCTCAGAAAACAAGGGAAAATCCACTCTGGGTTTAGGGCCAGAGCCCTTGAAGCCTGGGTCACAGAGTTTCCTGTGCCGAGGTGAAATTTCTTTTCCTTCCTTCCCTCCCTTCCTTCCTTCCTCTCTTCCTTCCTTCCTTCCTTCCGTCCCTCCCTCCCTTCCTTCTTTCCTTCTTTCCTTCCTTCCATCCTTCTTTCCCTTTCTTTTTCTTCCCTTCTTTCTTTCCTTTCTTTTTTTAAATTGAGACAGAGTCTCCTGTTGCTAAGGCTGGGGTGCAGTGCGGTGGCAGTGGGTGATCTCCCCTCACTGCAACCTCCGTCTCCTGGGTTCAAGTGATTGTAATCCCCAGTAGCTGGGATTACAAGTGTGAACCCCCACACCAGGCTAATTTTCATATTTTTAGTAGAGATGAGGTTTCACCATGTCGGCAAGGCTGGTCTTGAACTCCTGACCTCAAGGGATTTTCCCACCTCAGCCTCCTGAAGTGCCAGGATTATAGGTGAAAGCCACTGTGCCAAGCCCAGAATGAAATTTCTGCAAAATTTCTATTTTCTTTTTTTGTTTGTTTTTCCTCTTTTCCGTTTGCCCAAGAAGGCTGGATGATTGTCAAAACAGCACTTGGGACTTCTTGGGGCCTTCCCGTCTTCATCCATGTAGTATATAATGGATGACAGCAATCAAGTGAGATTGGACAGCAGGGAATCCTTTATTTTCTTCTTCATACACTTCTATGTTTGTTTTTTTTTTTTTTTTTTGGTTGGTTTTAATAAGATTTTTTCACCAGCAATGGAGATTTGTTGGATTTAAAATAAAAAGCAATCAGCCACATTTTACATTTCTATAAAACACTCAAACCAGGTCAGACTCACCAGTTGTGACTCAAAATCAACCATGTACTGTCGGATTCAGGAGACAGGGCCCTGACATTTAAGCACAGTGTGTTTTCCCAGAATTGGCCAAGTTTATGTCATTCCAATTTCTCAATATACTATGACCCATCAATTGCAGTTTTTAAAAGTGTGCATCTATTGTTACCAAAAACACTGGAGTTCGGTCTAGGCCTTGGTGCTCAGCACACTGAAAGCCAGTCATTAACACATTGAGTATTGCTGCGGAAGAAGGCTTTAATCCGGTGCTGCAGACGAGGAGACAGGAGATCAGTCTCAAATCTATCTCCCCGATCAACTAAAGTTAGGGGTTTATATCGCAGGGAAGAAATGTAACTGTGTGTGGGAACGGAGGAACTAGGGAGGGGTTAGGAAGCACTTATGATGAATGAGGGGTCTGGGCATCTCACTCTCTGGGTTGCTGTGATCTGTTGAGTTTCAGGTCTATGATGCTTTTTGAGAGGCCTGAGGGTCCTTTCCTGAGGAAAGAACTCTGATAAAACAAATGTAAGTTTCAAGCTTTAAGAACAGAAGAGTCCATTTCTATGCCTATCTGAAAACACTGTCGGTGGGACTATTGGGTCAATTTCTGTCCCCACTTTCTATTTTCAGTTCCTGAATCATGCAGAATCTGATCATTGATCTTTCTGGCTGTGCCATGTGGAGAAGGGGCGTCCTGGGTGGCTCCATACCATGGGTGACTGCATGGCCACCCAGGAATCAAAGGTTCATCTAATACTGTAGTTTCTCCTAAAATACAATCTTCCTCTCTCCAGTTGCCCATTTCCACTAAAGACAAAACACAGCAGAACCAACCTAGCTGCAAAAGAAGCTTCAGTCTCATATATGTGTCCTGATTACCCATACAAAGTGCCGCAAGAATCATTGTTCATATAGGCCCTTGTAAATTGACTTTGCTGGAACATTTCACAGCACCATTTCAGTCAAAG